TTTTTTTTCAATTTCCACGCCAATATTTTGGTAGATTTAATGCCACTTTCATATTGTCTCTGTTTCAAAAACATTAAATCTTTCTTGATTTCTTGTGTGGCTATATTGTTAATTTCGTTCCTAATGTTTTTGATGTCCCTTAATATATCCTGTGTTAAGTCCCTTTTATGTCTTCTTTCTAATTCCTTTAGTTTCTTACTCAACTCTTCTAATTTTCTATTCTTATCTTTTTTCCTAAATGAAGCTATTGCTATAATTTTCCCTCTTAGTACCGCCTTCAGAGTATCCCATAGTATGGGAGGTGGTACTTCTCCGGTATCATTGAACTCTAAAAAGAGACTAATTTCTGATTTAATTTGTGCCTTGAAAGGTGAATCATTCAATAGACTTGAGTTCAATTTCCATGTATTATTTTTTAACCGTAAGTTAAAATCAATGGATAAATATATTGGTGCATGGTCACTTATATCTATCGTTCCAATTCCACAAGTATATATTTTATCCTTATCTTTACCAAATGTTATAAAATAATCTATCCTTGTATAAAGAGAGTGTGGGGCAGAGTAGTAAGTATAGTCCTTTCTATTAGGAAAAAGGTCTCGCCATATGTCCATTAATCCTACCTCCTCAAAAAGTGCATTCACTTTGATATATGGAGATTTCATATCGTATGTTTTCTTGCTAGACGAGTCTAATTTTGGCTGCAGGTGTATATTTAAATCCCCTCCACAGATCAAAAGGCCTTCTGTTTCTGTTACCATAATATTAATAATCCTTTGGAAGAAGCTAATATCACTCTTTGGTGGGGCATAAACATTTAAGAGGGTGATCAAATTCCCATCTATTTTCCCTTTTACTAGAATAAATCTGCCCTCTTTATCACCCATTTCAGATACTTTTTCAAAGTTTAATTTGCTTGAAATAAGGATTGCAACTCCTCTCCTATGTCCTGATTTGTATGAAGAAAATAACAGATTAGTAAAACCCATTCTCTTTAATTTTACGTGCTCCTTATCTGTCATGTGGGTCTCCTGTAAGTAGACTATATGGGCTTGTTCTGCTTTCACTTTAGTTAGGATTTTAGTACGTTTAATTGGATTTAACAGCCCATTAACATTGAAAGATATAAATTTTACTTTATCACTAGCCATATGTAATCAGCGTATGTCCATAAAGCAAGTAAAATTAAATTTATCAGATCTACTCCCTAAACAGACAAACATATCAAACATAAACATCAAATATACTCTGTTCTTTTTAAAGCCATATAAGATACTGTTTTTGTTTCCATCCTGAAAAAAGCAATTGTTCAAAGAAATCAATAAAAATATTAAAAGTTAAAAAAGAAGTGCTGTGACCCCTATGACCATGATAAACACAACGGTATGCCCAGATCTCAGTGTCATTTCCATTAGCCTGATATTCCATTGATCCTGTAGTTTATCTTTCTCCTGAAGTCTGGATGTGTTTCTGTGAAAGCCTCCTGCTTCTCAGCACGACTTTAATCAGGCAGCAAAACATAAAAAATGTCAGAGGAAGAGGAAACTGGCAAACGCTTTCTCTGCATGGACCTGTTTCATTTATGCACGGTCCATCTGATAAATCTGTGTCCATGCATCGAAAGTGTTCCAGATGAAAAGTGGGAAACAGGCAGTTTGACAGTGTTGTGAAAACATCGGGTTTGCTGACTGAACTGTTATTTTCATTGATCATATTGAAGGTCATGTAAAACAATATAAAAGCAGAATGTGGTATTATGACAGCGCTTATAAATTCAATTTAAAAGCATAATTTAACAAATACACTGGTCCATAATGGAACACTTAAACCTCATGCTGTCATGTTAGTCCTACTGGCATGAAGATTTTTTAAAAGAAATCACGTACAGCATTTAAAACGAATGCTTCAAAGGCTGTAATGTTTTAAAATGAATGAGCCCCTTTTGTTTTTGATCCTTAGTTTGCTCACTTTGAATATCCTATTCAGCTAAATCATCCTGAGACTTGGCATTATTATTTCAGTATATTTAGCATTATAGATAATTAATGTAGAGTGCAGCTCCCATACTGGTTTGAAGACTGTGACCCACATTTTCCTTTGAGTTGTAACTGAGAGATGACTTTATCACTTAAAATATAGGGCAGGAATCGTACATACATTGGGGTAACAGCAGATATCATCCTAACATCATAGTCCTATAAAATCTTCTTGATCTTAACAAGCCTTGAACTACTTGGCAGGTATGAAAAGTGGGATTATTAATGACCAAGTTATATATATATATGTTTTGAGCTTTTGTGATAGTTTTAATCATAAACAATAAATTTGTCGTGTAACTTCTCCAAAAACCTTTCACAGTTTTGGCCAGGTTAAACGTAAAGTTGCGTGGTCTAATTTATGAAATTATAGCCTTTGAGTTTATTGTAATTTTTCACTTTTAATCACTGCATTGTGATGTTTTCTGTGAAGACCCACAGATGTCCCGGAGTACATGCAGTTTAGCAGCCAAACAATCTAAACAGACAGGCAAACCATGGACCAATATGCTGCTTTCAGGGACATTTGGACAGTGTTTACAGCCCAGTTACCCAAATACTGGCTCCATTGTCATGATCTGTGTGGGGATGAACAGCTGGTAGATTTCAGATGCAGGGGCAGTTTGGGGCAACACATCTCCTTTTCTAAACAAGCAAATGTGGCATAAACACCTTTTTGCATGATGAACATCATAAATCCATTTGATCATTATAGAATATCTATCACAGATAAAGGAACCAATGGAGCCATTAAGAAAAAGAGCTTCAAAAACATAAAATGACTTTCAGGGTTTAATATGCTGTTCAGTTAAACTGCCCAGAGACTTGTCATTATTATTTCAGTATATTGAACATTATAGATTATTAATGCAGCTCCCATATTGGTGTGACAGGACTGACCCATATTTCTAATTATGTTATGACTTAGTGATGATGTTATCACATTCACTACAGGGCAGCAGTTTACAGTCAGCTTCATATAGTTTTCACACTTTGATTAGTCCATAAGGTCAGAAATAAATTAAGGTAATCACAGTTTTATTATCCTGTTCCCTTAATTTATTCATGCATATTTTAAAATTTAATCTCCAGCTGTCTTTGTCTTGTCACTGTCTTGACCTATTTTCCTGCTGTAAGAAAAAAAGGGAAAGTTGGAAGTGTGAAGGTTGCCTTAAACTTGTTTATTTATTTAACTTTGGCGTTGTGAGCGAGCCGTCCTGAACTTAATTATGTTTCTGTTTTATATGAATTCTGTGCTTGTTTCAGTGCACAGATGCAAAGTAGAGGTGCACATATTTATAACAGAAAATAATTTGAAGATTTATGCCTCTTGTTTTTGGTTCTTATGGTTAAATTGCATTGCATTAACAGTGATGATGAGTGAACCATTCAGATGCCTTAAACCTTTTGCCAAATCTTCTCTCAGAAACCTTGGGATGACTTTTGGTTTAATTCTGACCTTGGATGCTCACATTAAATCTCTGGTTCACTCTTGCTTTTATCAAATAGGACTTATTGCAAAGTCCAGGTCCACTGTGTCAATATCTGAATTGTAGATTGCTATTCATGTCTTTAGTTCATCACCTTTGGATTTTTAATTTTTTTTATAAATGTGCTTAAATCTCTTTCAACTTTTTAAAACATTTTATCTGTATGTTTTTAGCATTTTAGTTTTTAAATTTAGCTTGAAAGATGCCCTATAAGTAAAAATTTTAGTTACTTTTAAGTTTAATGCATAATCTGCATCATAGTGCAATCAAATGTTCACTAACCCACACTTGAAGCCGAGGACCTCCAATCATCTACAATTGTTGCAAAACTAAAGCATTTGGGACTTCCTGAAAGCTCCAGCGATTCCAGTTTTGCAAACAGGAACCAAAGATTATAATGTAAAACAATACTGCCAAATGGTCTGCTTACCAGCTGGAAATGTCTATTCTATTACCGGATACAAACGATCTCATCCACAGTTCTGCGAGGAAGCAGTGTCAGTACTTTGTGTTTCACAAGACACGAATACAAACTTCTTTGGATAGGATGATTTGAGTGATTCTTTGGAGATGAGAAGAATTTGATTAATCCCACTTGTCTCTGAAACTTTTGACTTTCTAAACTTTCTAGAATTTGAAGCACAAACAGATACACAAAGCTGATTTGCAGCACTCACAAACTTCAGCTGGTGATTTAAACTCAGAAGCACAATTTGTTCAGAATTTGTTTCTACTCTTTGGCTCCACTTCTAACATGTGCACATAGACAACAGGGAAAGTGGTGCATAAAAGAAACAATCGGAGGTGCTCTGTTGGTATTTGAGTCCAGATGTTATTTTTCCTTCTTCCAAATATATGATTACGTTCAATCATAAAACCCATTAAATTCCAGGACATGTTTCATGTTTTGACCATTTTTTATCTTAAGTTTCTTCAAATCTATCATTTTAATTCTTCTTACAGCAGTATGAGGAAAACAGAACGGCTTTATAAAAGCAGGTCAGGAAAAAAAGACAACAGGAGAGAAGAAAACCACAGAGACACTAGGGTCTGTGTAGTTCAGAAATTATTAATCAAGCATAGCATTAGTTCAGGCAGTTCATGAAGTTAAGCTCAGCTGCAGTCCCAGGAGATCAGCTCATCTCAGTGCCAGCCTACATTAGGTGATGGTTTGGCTCATAAAATTCTACATATCCATTTGTGAAGTTTTATTTAGAGCACCGTATTTGAGTTGCTTTACATTGCCCATAGTTGCTTTGCTTTGCAAATCGCCTCTGCCACAGTTCCTCCTTTTCATGTAGCGACTGCATTAATTCATTTAATCTCTGATGTCACTGATGTTCTATTCCATGCTGGGGGTTTTGTTTCTGCTCTGCCCTTCAATTTCACCTCAGATAAAAACATCAGTCTCCTTTCTGGATAATTTTTGAAAACATGTCTTTTTTTGTAATGCTTCCTCTTCTTTTCTGTGCAGGTACTGGTCTGATCTGGATGGATGATGTTGCATGCGCAGGGACAGAAGACAGTATTCACCAGTGTAAGTTTTCCGGTTGGGGCAAAACCAACTGTGGCCACGTCGAGGACGCTGGTGTGACCTGCACCGTCTGAACTTTCAGGATCCCAACACTGCTGCAGCTGCCAAGTATCACCCAAACGCTGCCTTAAACTTCAAGTGCTGAAAGCCCTGCCGTGTGCAGCAAGAGTGTCATATTAGTAGTATGCTGCCTACTTACCTATAAAAAAAAGTGCCAACTCACCTGATGCATGAACTTAACCTGCAGCTTGGTTAGAAGTTCATGACTAAACATATCTATATGAGCCACGGGATTGAATCACAGTGCAGCTTTTGCCAACATAAAAGTTATGTTTTCATTAACTCTACAGTATGAGCTGAAGGATGATCACATGACAGGATGCTTCATGAGGCTGAACTAAAGGGCAAAGGTCAGCATTAACAGGAATGGAGGCTCACCACGGACCAGGTTTGCTGCTTTGACACCCACGAGAGGATTGCCGGATCTGACAACTTCATCTACATTTCCACTTACTAAAGCGCTGAAAAGGCATGCAATGGAACTGACAGGACAGTCTCTGGAGAACTGGTTTTCATATGCAGGCAGCTGCTCTTCACAGTATTATTTAGCAATGGCTTTTGCTCAGTATACCACAGTGTTGCCTTATTACACGTTACAGCAATGCCCAAGTAGGTAACTGTTTGGTGGTTTGCAAACCAGGCGATGCCACATAATCAAACTAATTGAACTTTTTCGTTATTTTTTTTTTTTGTCTTTTATTTGAATGCAAACTAAAGTACTGTTTATATTCACCATTTCTCAACAAAGCATGCTTTTCTTTCAGATCTGTTTATACTATTCCATTTGTAAAACAGCTGCAAAACGAAATTTTGAATTATTCTAAATGAAGTTTTGTTTACAGCATCCTGTAGATACCCCTCTTTCTGCACTTCGGGTCCAGTAAACGGTCAGAAGTGCTCGTCACATAGTCAAAAAGTCTCTCCACTTTCATGCTTTTCCAGTGTATAGTTATTGAGGTGGAGTTTAAGGCTTAAACTTTTTTATATTTCTGTCACTTTTTATAGTCCTTAATGATTAAAGCTCTATCAGGTACTAATAGTGATTTTTTTTTTTTAAAGCTTGAGCAATCTATCAAATCTGCATTCTGGCAAAGATTTTTAGCTGATTCTTTGAGCTTAAGTATTCGTTTTAGCATCAGCATCATTTCCAGTTGCATGGTGGTAGCTATTTTTATCCAAAAAGCCCAACAAATGTTAAACCTAACAACAAAGAGTAAAACATAAATCAAATAAAACATTTCACAGCTACAAAGTCCTAAAATATTTCCTTCAGGAGTTTGTGAATACCAAAAAAAAACCAATCAACACACAATTTGGATGCTGGAAGTTTACTCATCAGCTGAATGTTGCTCAGTAGTCGTTTATGTAGCAAACAAATACACAATTTTGAAAGCCAATAATATACAAGCAGGGTCTGTTTTTGAAATGCACAAAGTGCCAAAAAATGTGTTTGTTTCTTTCATGTGTGCATCCTTTAAACTGCAAATCACCAACCTGTGCTTACCGTGGGCTTCTATATTTATGCAAAAATTATAATAATGTCATTAAATAACAAGTTCTGGAAAGAGTTAACAGTCACCCCTGTTGACAGATGAAGTGATGATGAAGAAGAACAGATGAGTATAAACAGATGGATGCATGGAGGCCTGCCCTGTATGATTTATAACTGTGGGTCTGTCAGTGTTTACTGCCAAAAAAATTGGCTTGTTTCAGCAATAACATGCATACACACAATCTCACTCACATCAAAACATCAGACCAACTACAATGGACCTTTCTCCCACATTTTACCTCACTCTCAGTGGAATTTCAGCTTCACGGCTGCTTTCAAATCCAAAAACTTTGTACCTCCCAGGTTTCCTCGTCATTGCTTCGGAGCCAGCAGAAGACATGGAGCGGCAAGCTGGAAAAGAATACACGCAGAAACCTGAACACACCCATGTTTTATATTTGAAGTTTGGAAAGTTTTTTTATCCACCTTAAAAATCTGGCAATCTCACAAACCTCAAAAGACTGAAGTTAAATTCTCTCCAGCCTTAAAATCTGTGAGCTGTCTTAGATTTGTCCCACTTACTTTTTATGAAAATCAATCTGCAAACTTGGTGTCTGGATCCAAGAGAGCAGAGGAAAAAATATTTTGGAGATGAACTTGACTTTGTTCTGCTGCGGCCAAAAATGGTTTTCTCTGCCCCATGTCTAAGTGCCTTGGTGTTTGTCGAGGTTTTTGCTTTAAACCGCAATCCTGCCACAGCAAAACAGAAATGACGAACAAAAAGAGGGAGTCTAGGGGAAGAGAAAATGAGGTGATAAACCAGATTCAGCAAACTGATGTAAGTGAGAATGGTTGATGTGTTTTTCTTGTATTTTCTGCAAGTATTGGCAGGGTGACTCAGGACTCGTGCATAATCAGGTTATATCAGTGTCCTTTGGCTAGCTGATCACATTAAATCATCACATGTGACATCTGCATTACATTACATACCTCCATCGTGTCTAGTGAAAGGCAATGAAAACTCTGGGCTGCTGGGCTTTTCTTTCATAATCACTTTAATATATGCAACAACATCTGTATTGTTGCTCATTCTATTTAATGATATAAAACATATTAGAGGTCAAATAGTTTGTCAGCTAATCAGTACATTAACAAAAACTCTTCACATTATCTTCTTAAACTTTCTGTGTGACAGGATTTTGTATTTTTTTAATATTTTATAGAAGAAACAACAAAATAATCATTAGATAAATCACTAATGCCAATAAATGTTTCAACAATACAGTGTTCAGACCAAAGTTTTGCCACAAATACAGTTACAACCAATAACTGACATCTTCTTTTGTTGTTGTTGTTTTTCTACATTAAAGCAAAGGTAAATCTTTCAGCTGCAGGTGTGTACAAGCAGCAGTAAGTTTGTACCGCACACAGGCTTTTACTGCCAAGCATGATGGGTTTGTTTTGTTTTTTTACCTGTTCTTAAAATATTTGAAATATTGTATTTGCATCACTTTGCATCTTTGACTTTCTATTTACTCTGCATAAAATCAAAATTTGCATAAGTTTAATCTGGAAAGTAGACCATTAGATTGTATATAAAAGTGAGCATTGTGGCCAGTGGCATTACTGTTTTGGTCTTTTTGAAACTAGCCATGAAAAGCATGGGAGGATCTGTCTGAGAAATGGAGTTTGTTTTTTTTTATTGTAGAAATCTCCATAAATAGGTGTGCGTTAAAGAGTAAACCCCTGGCTGGATTTTACAGCAGATTATTTCATTCTCATTCAAATTCTTCTTAGACAGGCAGAAGGATATGTGGAAATTCTTTTTGGAGCACAGAAAGCGATAAAGCAAAATGTGACTGTGTGGCGGCCAGGCCTCTGAGTTTCTCTCATTTATCTTCTAGAGGCGTCAGATTCAGCACTTTGGCTGCAGAGTTATTACTTCCTTTGTAAAACAACAGCCAGAAATAACACCCTCGACTCCTTCCATATTTTTTCTATCTGTTTGTTTGTCATCTCCTTTTTAAAAAACGATACGTTAAGTTAACCATAAAAACAAGCAAAAGCAGGTTGAATTTTTTTTTTGTAAATCATTTTGTACTGGCATTAGTTTTTTAGAAAATAAAGGGCGGTTTGTAGCATACTACAGTATTTATACATGTTTTGTTATTTGTAATTTTAATATGTTTCTTTAATTAAAGTTACAGTATATCATAACATCCAAGTGGCAGTTTCTTCAGTTTTTGTTTCCAGCTCAAATTTTGTGCCATTTCATTTCCAACTTAACAAACAGGAAGTAAAGGGACAAAAAATTGCGATTTTTTTTTTAAACTGGGTGAATGTAAGACTGAATTGGGAAAAAAAGCATGTTGATTTGTTCAGATCATATTCTCTGTATTTTTCATCAGACTTAATTTCTTTGGACATTTCTAAATAAAAAGAGCTGCAGATTGGTGACAAAATAAATACAAAAAAACACTGAACCCCATATAGTGAAAGGATCTGATTGTTCTATTATGCATTAGGGGCCATTGTGCTGCTTTTTCTTTGGTTCAAAAAGCTTGAAAATCACAAATGTAGGTATGTTGTGAGAGGAAGGTAGGATGCCCAGACATGCCAGAGAAAACTTGGATGAGTGGCAAAGGTGAAAGGACACCCACGCTTTCTTTGTACCCGAAAAACTGAACATACTGGTGAACAACAGCATCATATACTTTAGTTCAAGGGAATCAAACCGTGGGTGTTTATATAAGTCCTACAAATGATGAGAGTATTTGAGAGCACTTTTTAAAAACAGGTTGAGGCCTTCCAAAAACAGCAACTGCAGAGAAAAGCTTAAATTTACCTCAGATGAATCTAATCTGCTGGTGAATACATTGCAGGCTAATCATATACTATTACCTTATGGGTACAATTTATCAGGCAGAAAATGTAAACCAGTGTCTTCTACTGTGGGCTTTCTTTTCTTGGTTCTGTTTATTTTGACTCAGTTCAAGGTAACTGGCTGAGCTGCAGTGTGTTAGACATCAGCAGAGCAAAACTGTTGTGCTGTGATTAACTGGCTAGTTAGCGACTCCAGATAATAGTTTGAGTACAAAAACACCCTCATGTCATTACTCAGAAATACCCTTGGAAGTGACCACATACTGCAACCATCTTGTAATGTTTTCTCATTTTCATTCAATTACATTTAACAGCAAAAAAAAAACTGTCCTTGTGGATTGTAATGTCTTGGCTGTGTTCTGTGTATCTTTTATAACACTGTGCTGCTCGTAACAGATAGAAGAGCTTAGGAATTAAAAAAAGGATTTCACCTGAAAACTCACAGAGCTTTTTACTTTGTGTACTGTTTATATGTGCCACTAAAATGCTGCATATGTACTGCTGAAATAATAAAATGTAGATTTGTTTAAACAGGTGAACTTCATTATTTCTGCAGATTTGTGGAGGGGAATTGGAAGCAGGAAATCTCTGCACGTCAGCAGGTGAAAAGAAAAGAGAGGGAGGAAGTTAAGATGGATGTGTGTGTGTGTGTGTGTGTGTGTGTGTGTGTCACAGAAATCAGACAGCTGAGGCATGTGTAGGTGTACAGCACATGGGTGTTTTCACTGACAGCTTCTAGCAGTAATCACGTGTATGATTGTTTCCAAATGCGAAACGAATGTAAAAGTGACTGGATGAAAAATCACCCCGTGGCCGGCAGTCGGAATAAAGGCTGTGAAGTCGTGTAAACATGGTTTCAGTTATCTTGCAGGAAAGTAAGACTTTAACTTTTTATTTGATACATCAAAGCATGAAGGTATGCAAGAGGGACTACTTTGACACACATGTAGACTATTGTACTGATGTTTCAAGTAGATTTTTTGTCTCTAACCACACGATCAGATGTTTTCTGATAGTGAGTGAGGGTTTTATTTTTTCCAGAGAGAGCAAATGTTTTTAATATATTGATCATTTTGAGCCATTTTAGTTCACAATGGAGAGATTTGATGAAACTAAAATAATAATTTTAGTCAATTTTAGTCCATAGAATAGGCTGGAAAATCATGGGAATGCCTTTGCCTGTTCACATCTCTGTCTGGTGTAATATCACACCCCGATTGTGCCAATGAGTGTAATCAAAGGATGAAAACTAAGATTTTGTACCCAAAAAACTATTGAGTATGGATGCAGTCATTTTGTAAATGATTTTGGGAAAAAAAAAAAACTTTAAAAATACAAGATAAATTATTGGCTCTCTTATTATTTTTAGTTTTTACATACAGAATAATTACCTAGTTCAATTACAGAGCCAATGCGCAACACCACCCACTTCAAAGTGCTTTATATAATCAGCTAGGCCATACAATGCCAGAGAGAGAAGTCCAAAAATCACTCCTGTTCAATAGGAAGAAACATTCAGCAGAACCAAGCTCTTAGGTTAAAGAAAAAACATAAAAGAAGAAGAAGGATCAACAAAACACAGACCACAGGACAGAGAGGGCATTGTAACTGATGTGCAGCGGTGGCACACGTGGAGAGTGGAGCAGAAATGCTGTGCCTATCATGGAAAGGCCTCCAACAGTCTGATGTAAGATGCACAACTAAGTGATGCTTCAAAAAGGAAGACTTTAAGGCTAACTTTAAAAATACAGGGGTTGTCTGTCTCCTATATCCAAAGTGTAAGGAACCTGAGACTTAAAGGCTCTGCCTCTCATTCTACTTTTAGAGGCTCTAGGAACGACAAGCAAGCCTGCAGTCTTTGATCAAAGTGCTCTACTGGGATAATATGGCACAGTGAGATCTGTAAGTTATCATGGCACCTGATAATTCAAAACTTTGTATCTCAGGAGAAAGATTTTAACATTAGAACCACCTGTGTAATACTGTGAGGCTGAACTACCATAGATGGACACGAGACTTTGACAGTGAATTCTTTCAGGAGGTTGGAGCATTCATGGATTGTTGTAAGCAGTTTGTGCCGTTAACACAAGGGACACTTCCTAGTCACAGTAACAATCCATGCCAGAACCATAGACTGTATATAAAACATGAATGTAGCTTTGGAGTTTGGAAAGTGAAGCCAATAATTCAGCTTTCATTATTCCTGATGGCCATGAGGAGGGGACTCGTTTGGTTTCGAAAATAATTCTTCTTCTATGGAAGTCTGGAAAACAAAGACTTTGATCCACAACCTCAGGAAACACTTTGCTGATGAATTTGTGGCCAGAGTCACTAGTTTCAAGTCTTGTTTAATACAATGTGACTTTCATTGTATAAATTATGTTCTCCTTTGTGTAACTGACAGCTTGCAAGACTTTCAGTGTGTGCCTCAATTTAACAGTGAAATCCACACTCACTTGTCACATGTCAGATTCAACATGTCAAGACTGTGACGGCAAAACTGCACAGCAATCTATGGCATAATGTTGCTTTCTAAAGATATGACCAGTGTTTTGTTTTGGGGTTTTTTTATATATTTTTTTTCTCATTGTTTTTTCTCAATTACAATACATGAGATTATTTTCTTGTTCATCCCATAAGAGCACTCAGTTTCATAACAAGAAACCGAGGGTTCTTCATGTCTGGTTCAGACATGAAATTAACCAAAACATTGGTCCAACTCATGCATTTGCCACAACAAAGAAGGCAGATGTTGTAAATTCTCCTCAGCATCAACTCCATATGCCATCGTCCCTATTCTTCATCTCATTACTTGGCATATATAATCTCTGGTTATACTGTGGCTTGTTTGGGCAGGAGACAGAGTGAACTATAAAGTGTTTTATACAAGCTGAGGAGTGGAGTTAAACTGGAAGGCAGTCTCTGCATGTTTGCAGTATGGAAACAATTCTTTCATGAGTTGCAATTCTGTTTGATTCCAGATGAAAAAAGCCACAGGGAGAGAAAGACGCATATGACTCTTGACACATAAATCCTGGATGATGCTGCACTAGAAGTGCCATCCTAACCCATCCAAAAACACTACATTTAGCAAAAATATATTCTGTGAATTTCTTTTTCTAAGCAATAATGATTCTGAACAAGCAGGATAGAAATTCTTCTAGTTATATTCAAGGATCCACATACTTTTTTATGATCTTGTGCATGAAAGTCCTGAATCCTTTCAGACTTCATCTAATCACATGGCAGCCACTTGATGCATTTTAGACATTTGGTCAAGACGACCTGCTGAGGTTCAAATTTAGCATTGGAGTTGGGAAGAAAAGTGAGTTAAGTAACTTTAAACTTTGCATAGTTGTTGGTGTAAGACAGGCTGGTCTGAGTATTTCAGAAACTGTTGATCTGCTAGGATTTTCTCACACAACCATCTCTGGGGATTAAAAAGAGGAACATTTGCAGTGAGCAGCAGTCCTTTGAGTAAAAATACCTTGTTGACGTCAGAGGTCAGAGGAGAATGGCGAGACTGCTTCAAGATAATAGGAAGGTAGCAATAACTCAAATAACCACACATATCAACCAAGGTGTGTAGAAAGGCATCTCTGAATGAATAACACATTGAATCCTGAAGCAGATGGTCTACAACAGCAGAAGACTACATTCGGTCCCACTCCTGTCAACTAAGACAGCACAGGCTCACCAAAAATGGAAATTAGAAGACTGGAAAAACAATGTGAGCAAGATTCAGAAGGTAGGGTCAGAATTTTGCATAAAAAACACGAAAGTGTGTCTCCGTC